TTATGAAATATGCCTGTACTAACATTGTAGCTCCAAGATGTACACAGTTCATTAACAAACAGCAGAATAATGCATGAGTTCTTATAAAATATTCAGTTAAGAGGTTATGAAATGCCAAATATGATTAAATAAACAAAACTTGCACACAAGTTGCTGAAATGGTTATTTTGAGTAAGTATGTGCATAAATGTTACTTAAAACTATAAGCACTACATTAAAGCACTGCAAAATGTTGCAGAATTCTAATACGCCAAAATTCAAGCTGTTCTCAACTTTAATGTTAGTTATCACAGTAAAAAATAAAACATGTTAAGTAAAGTTAGTCAGGAGGTGATGTGGTCTCATTGGCATGCTGTGAGGAGTGCGGTTCTGTACTCCGAGGTGTGAGTGAGACAAACAGCCTTTGGATGTGGGCCATTCACAGCCTAGTATGCCAAAGAGAGCAGCGATTCAGCCCTCCTACGTCCAGAGGGCCATCTCAGAGTGTTAATGAGAGTGAGAGAGAGAGAGAGAGAGAGAGAGAGAGAGAGAGAGAGAGACAGCGAGGAACAGACAAAGTCTCTCTGCATTAAGAAGCACAAGATGCTAGTTACATTACAAGTGAAGCGGTGAACCCCAGCTGTGGCCATGGCACGCCTGACTAGACCGCAACCCCCAGTTTCTGGATAGCCGCAGCACACTAGGCAGGGTTCGTAAGCAGGAAGTGATCCTTCAGGCAGGAGGGAACGGCAGATGCATTGGGCTTTTGCCCTGCTGCTAACGCTGAGGGTTAGCCTAGTCACAGGTGGATGGAGGCCAAATCAATAACATTACAGAGACAGCGACTCAGAGTGTACCTGCATGTGAATGCAAGAGGTCTGTTGATTATTGTGTTACAGAAACAAAACACACTTTACAAAGTTAACTGAACATGCAAAACTAATTATAATTTTTTTTTTCAAGAAGCAATGCTGATTTTGCAATCAACATGCAAAATGTCAATCCTGTATAAATTAGTGATTAGGTTAAAATAGGGAACATATAGGTACAATATAGGGTATTGGACGATATTATAAAAATAAGTGATTGTATTACTTTGTGATATATATATATATATATATATATATATATATATATATATATATATATATATATAATGTATTAAATGTAAAACCTTAAAATACACTTTAAAAACAAGAATTTCACAAAGTAAAACAATGACACTTTTTTTTTTTTTGGTCAAGCAGAAAAATAAATCTACTGAGCATTTGCTGAATAATTGTCATCTAGCTTGTTTGTGATCAAAATTGCCCCTCTGTCTCCCCACCTTACATATTTGGCTAAATCTAAAACAGCTTGAATGGCCAGCTTGGAAACTGACATCACCGTCTCACAGTAATCTTATGTTATAGAAATATGGCATCAAGAATCCCATATGAATGAGCCAAGTGTTTTGTCCGTGTGTTTCGTGATCTGCCATGTAGCATGACTCACTGTTTATCATGCAGCGTAAGAGATGGCCCACATTGCATTCACATGTTTGGTGTCATTACAGCTCTGAGTCAGCTGTTAAAATCAGTGTGCTTGAAACCAGCAGCGAGGGTGAGCACAGAGAAGGATGGATGGGAGGAGAGAAGGAGGGAGGGATGGATGGATGGTGGTTACCTGTGGTAGCTGCAGGCACCGATGAGGTTCTGAAGGTCAGAGTGCCAGGCTTGGACTTGCCCTGCTGGTTCTCTACCACCACGAACACGTCATACTCGGTGTCCCACTCCAGCCCAATCAGCATTACATACTCGCTCACATTAGGCAGACGGATCTCGGGCTTCCAGTCAGAGTCTTCCCTCTGTGTACCAACGAACAAGCATGAGACTAACATAGTTGCAACCAAAATAAGAAGGATCACATAAAATATTTCATATTTGGATACTCACAGCTTTGTATTTGACCAAATAATGTGTGATTGGTGACCCTCCATCATCTTGTTTGGTCCATTTAACTTTGAGAGAATTGCCTTTGGGTTGTAGAGTGCCCTCTAGTATAGGGGGACTTGGTTCTCCTACAACAACAAACCAGTTACAATGACGTGAGAAAAAAGCATGATAACTAAAAGGAATAGTTCACCTAAAAATAAAATGTAATTCTCATGTCATCCCAAACCTGTAAGACTTTGTTTCACCTTTGAAACCAAAGTCATCCACCAAATCTGTACATCAAACAAGCTTCTGTTTACCATATTGGATGTGCACTATGCTTTTATATGTGAATAAAAGCCTAAATAAAACCTGTTCATCAAATAAAGCAACTGTGTCCCTTCAGAAGACTTTGATTAAGGTGCTCAATTCATATGGATTACTTTTATGATGTCTTCATAAACTTTTTGAAGTGTCAAAGTTTTGGTTGCATGGACTTGCAATGGAGGGACAGAAATATCTTAGGCTTCATTTGTGTTTCGAAGATGAACTAAAGTCTTATGGGTTTGGAATGACATAAAGGTGAATAAATGATGACAGATTTTTCATTTTTAGATTAAATATCCCTTTAAAAACGAAGATGTGTAAAAGGAAGAAAGGTCCAAACCAGGAATGAAGATCAGCATTAAATATTGGTATTATGTGTAGTAAAAGGTCGATACATAGAGCGATATTTGACTATTTTGAGATTTTCGACATTGACTGATAACCATGTCAATCATGTTGAATAACACAACTTTGAAATTGACAGTCATGTCAATTTATAAAGACTTTATTTTAACATCTTACCATAGTACACACTGTAAAATAAAGTTTAATTCTATTTAATTCACTTCATTTTTACAATTTGTGTACATCTCTTGTGCTGTTATTCAAGCTGCAATGTGTAATTTTCAGTAGAAGCACCAAAATATATTATGGTTAATATTAAGCAGTCCTCCATCTGTTATTGTTCAAATAAACAGGCAGTCACTCCAATGTACAAATAACTCATAATAATATTATTAAAGCAATACAATTTTCAATAAATGTAAAAAAGCTATTAATTAAATTACTGACAGATCAATCATCGAAATGGTTGCATCAGTACTCTAAACTCATGCCATTTGACTTGAGCCAGAATTGTATATATGGGGCAAAAAAAATTAAATAATAAGATACAGCAACTTTAAATTGCATTATGTATATATCAGCATTACACGATTGGCCACCCAGATCTGTAGATAGCAATTCTGGCCAATGAAATGCCAGTCAACCACTAATTACGTGCATTAAAAGTTGTCAATTTTCCAACTCCCACAATTCTTAGCCTCCTACACGCCAGTGATTCCATATAGGTGAGTAATAGAATAATATGACACATGCTGATTGGCTGTGGCTCCTTAGATGAGTAGGCTGATATTTGGAGGTCACGGTGAACTGTGAACATCCCTATCGAGCACTCATGTGTATTAGCACGCTGTGAATTGGGAATATTTCTATGGTGCTGTTCACTGAGGCCGCTCCTTCACGGGCCATCATGATCCATTTCATTTTAATGACCAGCGAATGCTCGTTTGATTCACTACATTAGTTTGATGCACAGAGTGACAACATTGCAGGCAGAAGCTATGCGTGTACACCGCGGTTGGAAAAATGAAGGCATTTACTCTCATTAAGCCAGTAATTAGCTATTAGCCTGTACGAGAGAGATGCTTTCATTCATACAATCTTTTTTCTTTAATTTTGTTTGGAGTTCTTGTTTATCCTGATATTAATCACTAACACCCCAAATTTTGTCCATGCAGTGGTGAAATAATCAATGTCGTCAATACATCAATAGCCTCACCTTTCCAACAAAGGAGGATTTTATTTTTCCCCGAGAGGTACAGCTCAAATTCTCTAAGGATCTTCTGCTACAAAACATGATCGTAACTGCAAAAACTGAATAAGATGTGATAAAAATGCAGTAATTAATCTTTAATGTGGTCTGAAGTCATAAAAGTGCAGCACGTAAAATGGCATAAGCCCCACTAACTGATGCGAGGGGCTCCAATCCCAAACGATTGGCTCAATTAACAAGCAGCTATTCTACTCGACTGACAGTTTAAAGGGTCATCAATAAACGCTCATCTCTTAAATAATGAAAGTGCAGCACTGCATGATTAATTCCATCCTCCTTAGCCATCTGTCCCTACAGGATACAGTGAATGAAATTATCATATACACAAGGGAGCAAACAGCAATAAATTAAATGAGACTAAAATTAAGAGTTGTACACGTTTGCAAATGAACTTGCATGTTCATTATCTTAATGGCAGCTACATTGAGATATTCTGGGGGGAAATCACAAAGAATGAATTGCGCAATTTATTTGCACACGCTGACTGCGGTGTTTTAGCAACGGATTCGCTAAAGGCGTTATGCAAATGAGGTAATATCTCAAACAAACCCCACAATGGACTAATTTGCAGGTTGCTAGTGAGTACTAGTTTGCAGAATTGGGCTTTCAATTCCATCAGTTGGAATTTGAGCTGAATTGGCCACAACCACAGGATGTTGAGGCATCTAAGGCCTTTATCAACTTTTAAAAACTTTTTTTACAACATTGAAAGAAAAAAATGCTACATTTTGAAATTCATTTACTTGCATTCAAATTCGAACTGAAATTCTGCAGCCGGTTTGATACCTTACTTCAAATTCTGTAATCAAATCGGAATTTTCAAAGTCAATTCAGTTTAAACTGGCAATTTATCATGACCCTTGTTTACATAGAAAGGAGGCATGTTAAAAAAATAACACTTAAACGAATAGTTCACCCAAAAATGAAAACTCTTTATCATTTACTAACCACCATTCCATTCCAAAACCATAAGACTTTTGTTCATATTACGATCCTGATGCTGCGTCAAAATCGTTTTAGCTCTAACCCTAATCAAACACACCGGAGTATGTGGTTTGGAACTTGCTTTGCGGCTGTTAATAAAAAGTAATGTGTGCCATGTTGTCATGTGACCTATGGGATCAGTTGTGTCGCTTTCACAACTCCCATGGCATCACGGGATAGTAAATTCCCTTATCTATTGGATGCACACTTCAGAATCTTGCTGAAAGTAGTAGGTCATCTGGGTACTTTTCAGCCACTATTTTATGAATACTATGAATTCAGACGTACTACTCAACTCACATACTGTTTTTGCCTAGTATGAAAACAGACATATTGGGTTCATATATGTTATATGTGCAGCAGCAGTATTTCTTACATGCTCACAGCAGCATGTCAGTAGATGTACTGGCAGTAGCAAGTTTCTGTACGCACAGAATCTCGTTGGAAGTAGTAGGTCATCCGGGTACTTTTCGCCTGCTATTTCATGAATACTATGAATTCGGGCATACTACTTGGCTCGCATAGTTTTTCACCTAGTATGGAAATGTATGGACAGGGTTGCAGGGTATGTCTTTATGAACTTTTTGAAAAATTTGGTCACATGAGAATACCAAAAATATCTATATTTGCATTCCGAATACAAACAAAAGTCTTATGAGGGTGGGTAATTAATGACAGAATTTAAATATTTGAGTGAACTATTACTTTAAACACACATGGCACTATTTAACTGCAGATATTGCATGCTTGAACTGTGATTTTTAAATAAGACGTAAAATGGTGCAACTGTTAAAGTTTTGTCTTATAAAAAGACAAGCAAAACATAGACCAATATCCAATCACAGAAACATCATAAAACCTATATCATTAGTCAAGGTGTGCAAGCAAAGTAAGCAAATGTGCAATGAAAAGAAAGTCAATATTTTTCTGTACAGAGTCATCATAAAATTTACATGCAGGCAAAAACAACCGGATCTTCAAAGGACAAACTTCGGAGAGGAGAGGAGGACCCCTATAAAAGGTTCAAAGGTATATTGAAAGGAAATGCGGTACTGTGAAAGTTACTGAAACATGCTTGGAGAACAAATAAACCATTGAGTTCAACCACTCGCAGTGTCTACTGTAGCATTTTTTTAGGGATTTCCTAATTTGGATATAATTGTACACTGGTAACAGCATATTCAAAGCAGTATTAGATGAAAGGACGTCAGTGTAGAGTGTCTGTAAACCCTCTGCTTGTCAAAATGTTTAGATTGAACATAAAAGAGCGAGATCGTCGTACCCAGCGATCGCTCTGGGGAAGAGTTTTTTTTAGCTCCAGAGCTTTTGATGTAATTTCCATGGTTGGCAGGACACGGCATCAACTTTTTTTCCTGATTGCATATTCACCACGGAAGATAATTTGTGCAGTCAGAGCACAGTGGTTGCTCAAGGGTAACAGTCTCCGTTAAAAATTGGGAATGGATGAATTTTCATGACCTGTCTGAGGGGATTTAATTCTAGAAATGTGACAGGAGTGAGTTATAATGGCTGCTTAGGAATGAATGCAGTGAATCTGATGTGAGTGAAGGCTAATCCTGTACATGAGAGGATGGAGCCGGGCCCGAGTGTTTACCTTCTGCTCATCAGTGTGGATGGCATCACCAGCACCATGCAAGCCACATGACACAGTCACATCATACGCACGCACATGATTGGTTGAAAGGAAATTGGAAGAGGTTGCATGAAAGATACAAAAATACAGACAAATATGTAAACTATTTGAAAAAAAAAAAAAGATTCAAGGGTTAGAACAAACTGCAGAGAAACACAAAACCAAGCAACACAAAATGGCTTTAATCACTAAGATCACAACATTGAGCACAGAAGCAGAGACACACCGAGCAGGATTTCCTCTGAGAGATTGAGCATATGGTTTGATTTAAACACAAATGAAATTTTTTTTTTTTTTACATATTCTGAGGAAAATGTGAGTGGTGCTTGTACAAAACCTGGTTTGGTACGGAGTGGTTCATAGTGCATTTCTCAGCAGTTGCTATGCAGCTGTTTGGCTGTCACTGTGTTGCTACGCAGTTGCAAAATTTTTGTAAGTGGAGTGTGTTGCTAGGAGGTAACACAGTTACTAGGGTGTTCTGATTCAAGGGTTAGAACAAACTGCAGAGAAACACAAAACCAAGCAACTCAAAATGGCTTTAATCACTAAGATCACAACATTGAGCACAGAAGCAGAGACACACCGAGCAGGATTTCCTCTGAGAGATTGAGCATATGGTTTGATTTAAACAACTGAAATTTTTTTTTTTTTTACATATTCTGAGGAAAATGTGAGTGGTGCTTGTACAAAACCTGGTTTGGTACGGAGTGGTTCATAGTGCATTTCTCAGCAGTTGCTATGCAGCTGTTTGGCTGTCACTGTGTTGCTACGCAGTTGCAAAATTTTTGTAAGTGGAGTGTGTTGCTAGGAGGTAACACAGTTACTAGGGTGTTCTTGGTGGTTGCTTAAGGGTTGCTTTTTTGAGTAGTTGTTAGTGTGTTGCTAGGGTGCTTACATGGTTACTACAGTGTTCTTGGTGGTTGCTACTGCAATGCTATTTGGTTGTTGAAGTGTTCTGAGTGGTTGTTGGAGACTTTCTAAGCAATTGCTAGGGTGTTTCTGGTGGTTGTTCAGCATGTTGCTATACAGATGCAAAATTGTTCTGAATGGTTCTTAACATGTTGCTATGCTGTTTCTAAGGTGTTCTTGTGGTTACTATGGAGTTGCTAAGTTGCTGCTAAAGTGTTCTGGTTGGTTATTTTGGTGTTGCTTGGGTGGTTACGTGGTTACAGTGTTCTTGGTGGTTGCTACTGCATTGGTATTTGGTCGTGGAAATATCCGGAGACGTTGTTAGAGCCTTTCTTTCTAAGCAGTTGCTAGGGTGTTCTTGGTGGTTGCTCAGGTGTTCTGTTTGATTGCTAGCTGGTTGGTTATTTTGGTGTTGCTTGGGTGGTTACGTGGTTACAGTGTTCTTGGTGGTTGCTACTGCATTGGTATTTGGTCGTGGAAATATCCGGAGACATTGTTAGAGCCTTTCTTTCTAAGCAGTTGCTAGGGTGTTCTTTGTGGTCGCTAAAGTGTTCTGTTTGATTGCTATGGTTGTCAGCATGTTGCTATGCAGTTGAAAATTAGTTCTGAGTGGTTCTTAGCATGTTGCTATGCTGTTTCTAAGGTGTTCTTGGTGGTTGGTACAGTACGTGGTTGCTACATTTTTCCTAGCGGTTGTGTGCCTGCCAAGTTGTTCAGAGTGTTTCTCAATGTGTTGATATGTGGTTACAAAGGTGATTTCAGTGGTTGATAAGTGTTCTGAGTTGTTGTTAGTGTGTTGCTAGGGTGTTTACATGGTTACTACAGTGTTCTTGCTGGTTGCTACAGCAATGCTATTTGGTTGTTGAAGTGTTCTGAGTGGTTGTTGAAGTCTTTCTTTCTAAGCAGTTGCTAGGGTGTTCTTGGTGGTTGCTCAGCGTGCTGGTTGTCAGCATGTCGATATGCAGTTGCAAAATTGTTTTGAATGGCTTTTAGTGTGTTGCTATACTGTTTCTAAGGTGGTTGCTAAAGTGTTGCGGGTGGTTATGCGGTTGTTAAAGTTTTCCCAGTGGTTCTTGCTGGTAGCTAGGGTGTAGATGCTTAAGTTCTGAGTGGTGTATAATGCATTTCTAAACAGTTGCGAGGGTGTTCTGGCGGTTGCTATCTGGTTGCTATCTACCAGTAAGTTTACGGAGAAGTTGTCAGCGATCTGCTACGTGGCTGCTAAATTGTTCTGAGTGGTTCTTAACATAATGCTACACAGTTCTTAGGGTGTTCTTGGTGGTTGCTAGGGTGTTGCTAAGAGGTTGTTCTAGATGGCTGCTCAGCTCTAAAGGGCTCACCACCAGGTATACATGACAATATATGGCTTGGGTCCCTTTCTTAAGTTTATGGGACTTTTCTACCAGTTTTATCATCTGCCAGGTAAAAAAAAAAAAGAAGCTTATTAAAGTAACAAGACCGCTTTTGCAGGACAACTTGAGGTGTTAATCAGGTGCTCAGCACAAATGGTATGGAATAAGTTATGTATTCAACTGTAATACTTAGTTAAAGGTTTGTTCAAATCCTGTATGATAGTGATGGCTGCTTATGCAAACACTACTGAGAAGTTGTCAAATCATATTTCTCAATGAAAAACAGAGGAAACACTGAAGTATTGATATAATACCTGAGGATCATGCATTAGTTTTTGGACAAAGCATGTGATACTGTAAGCACATCACACTGGATCTCAATCACTAAAGAAATATTTAAAGTTGCTAAACTTTAAATACTTTACGTGTACTATAATTGGATTAACTGTGTGTTGCCTAAAGATAAAACATGCGAAGGCTTTATTGCAGCCACAAAACTAGAGCATAATACAATATTAACCCTTTATATTACCTACAGAAGGATCTTTTTGGTTTCGCTTTTAATATTATATAAATATAACTATGAAGATCACCATACAGCTGCATAACAAACCTGTGTCCTCAGTGTGAAAATGAAAAATCCCATCTAGGGAGCAGATGAAAAAAGAAAATGTTCACTTTTATTTAGTTTGATAACTGTAATGGAGGAAAAAGCTAGCATATGAACTTAAAGACCCCATAAGAACACATGACAAGCCCTATTATCTTTAATGTGTTAATGTATTTCCTGATGAAAAAGGAAGGAGCCTTTAGTTTGTCACAACCATGATGGTTTGATACTTGCTACTGCTAATCAGAGGCAGTTAATGTTAGAGGATAGGACATTCTCATTCTAAAGAGCACAAAAATTATATTTTAATTTAGTCAACTTTTGCGAGTACGATAACATATGGCTGATCTCATAACAGACAAGGACTTAAAGCCATAAAACTCTCATTTTGATTTCATGGGGTCTTTAAATCCTATAACCACTAGACAAGATATTACCAAATAATAAAATACGAAGAAATACGAATGATATCAAAAGATAATGATCACAGGGGGACTTACTTGTGTAAGAATACTCTAAAGGATCCGGTGGAAAACATACAAATGGGAAACAAAATATGGGAAAAACCACATAAATTGACAGGATGAAAAAAAAAAAAAAAAAAAAAAAACCCTATTATCTTTAATGTGTTAATGTATTTCCTGATGAAAAAGGAAGGAGCCTTTAGTTTGTCACAACCATGATGGTTTGATACTTGCTACTGCTAATCAGAGGCAGTTAATGTTAGAGGATAGGACATTCTCATTCTAAAGAGCACAAAAATTATATTTTAATTTAGTCAACTTTTGCGAGTACGATAACATATGACTGATCTCATAACAGACAAGGACTTAAAGCCATAAAACTCTCATTTTGATTTCATGGGGTCTTTAAATCCTATAACCACCAGACAAGATATTAACAAATAATATGATAATATGAAGAAATATGAATGATATCAAAAGATAATGACCACAGGAGGAAATGAACACTTACTTGTGTAAGAATACCCTAAGGGATCCAGTGGAAAATTAAAAAAAAATGAAGAAAAAAAACCATACAAATGGGAAACAAAATAGGAGAAAAATCACATAAAATGACAGGATGAAAAAAAGAAAAGTCTGAAAATGTCAAAGGGTAAAAGCTGGTAACAAGATCAGACAGCAATACTCTCTCATCACTCATACTTTACCTGAGTTAGAGTCATTAATCTCTGGACTACATCCTGGAGATTTCGGCACTAAATGGGTTTTGTTTCATGTACTGACAGGAAATAAATCCCAGTGCACAATGGGTTGAGTATATGATGTGATAGTGGCATTTCTGGAAGTCCAAAACACCCCGCTGATCACACAAACAACCACCAGGGGGAGTAAGAGGGTAGATGTGTGTGGTGATTATACGTGATGAGAATATCAAAACAAATCACAAAAATATTCTTGTGGTTGATTGATTTTTATTGATGTTTTGTGGAATGTTGGCAGAATTTTATGTCCTGTGTGACAACAAGATGTTCTGTTCTTACCAGTCAGATTTCTCGTAGATGAATCAATTATTGATATAAGAAATCATTTATGAAATGTGTGACCAGTGTATATGAATGTGCTTAGCAGCAATAAACCTGCCAAGCATTTATTATTTATACACATTAATTTGCAAATGCATCAAGACCAGTGTTCTCATTGCACTGAATTACTAATATTACATTAATATATAGCCCTTTGTGATCTATTTCTATGCAATGAAAGTCAAAATTTGCAATTTTAATGTTAATGTGTTGTAATATTCTTGTCAGAAATGATAGAAATATGCTGTGGCAGTTTTTATCTTACATTTACAGTAAATCCATAGGCTTCTACCTACGAATGATTAAAATAACCACCAGGTTTCTCTTCATGATGAATAATACATAACTTCTGCAAAAAAAAAAACGCTGGATAGCCAAGTGGGAACTGTTTATACATTGTCAAAAAGTGTCAAATACATAAAAGCACCCTGGTGTTGCCTAGAACAGCTGGTCCTTCAAAACTCTTGAGAGTCGTCACAGACGAGCTAACAATTACTCTGAAGGAGCGACAGAGTTCAGTTCAGTTCAGCTGAGAACAGAGTACAGGTGAGCCAGTCAACCATATCAAGAGCTCTACATAATACTGGCCTGTATGGGAGGGAGGCACAAAAGAAGCCACTGATCAAAAAGAACCATGTAAAAGCCTGTCTGGAGTGCATGATAGTGACAGAGTTGCAGTCAGATTTTGTCGGTCTAGATAAAAAAAGGGGAAAAGTTATAAGAATATTTTAAATAAAAAATAAAGTTATCTATCTATCTATCTTAGTTTTTATTGAATTTTTTTTATTTTTAGTTTTCAGTTGCATGTTAGTTAAAATAGTATTTTTGTTTGTTTTTATGTGTTTTACATTTTTATTTACTTACATATGTACATACAATTTTCTGTTTTAGTTTGAGTTATTTTAGTACTTTAAGTTAAACTAAAATAAAATGACAAATGGCTTGGCAACTAGCTGAAATAATCTAGATTTAAGACTTTAACATATTTGAAATTTATCTAACATTTATTTTATTTGAAGCAACAAATTTTTTTTTATGGTCTTAGTTCTGATTAACAATAATAACCCTGATACGATATTAGTTATTCATTAATTGATAAAAATACACACTTAACCTTTAATATAATGTCATGCTGTAATGCCGGATTTGTAATTCAGTAAAATTAGAGAATTGGTCAAGGGACTTAAAGTACGTTAATATTCAAACTACTTAGGTCATTACGCCCTACTCTTTAGCACCATGAGCACAAACTGTATCTTTTAGCGTCTGCGTCAGCCAAAGACTTCACACAGCTCTGAACAGTTACATGCAAACCTAATTCATTCACAGAAATAAGTTCACAAAATAATTGCATAATAAATACTATACACTTTTGTTTCAAATTGATTTATTATTTTCCTTTAATCTAGTTATAACGTTAAGGTTCTGGCACCCAAAAACAGACAATTTAGTTTTTCATGATCATTTTACTGAAGTAATGGCTGCTGAAAAATCAAAAGTGCATTTTAATATTATATATATATATATATATATATATATATACAGTATATATAAACAAAATAGCAATTTAAAAAAAACATAATAATATTTCACTATTTTAATATTTAATAATTTTTATTGCATTTTTGATCAAATAAATGCAGCCTTAGTGACCATAAAAGGCTTGTTTAAAAAACCATTGAAAATCTCACTGACCCGAAACGTTTGAATGGTAATGTATGTTAATGTGACCACAGATATGACATCAATACCATCATTTCTGAATTAATAATTTTTAAAGTATAGTTTCCAAAATGGTCTGTAACATGATTGTTAAAATACTACATCTATATACTATTCTCTTATTTCAAAAGAACAAGAAAAATTCTCTGCTTCTATGATACAGTTTAAGTCCATTATTAAAGTCGACAAAACATGCAGTGTTGATAATCCACATAATATGGATGGTTTTCTCCATTTTATGTGACAGACTCACCGTCTTGCACCTCATAGACTCGCTGCACCCATTTCCCTCGGCCCATGGCTCTCCACTCGGCTCGGTACTTGAGCACAGGAACTCCTCCAGTGGACTCGGGCTCCTCGAAAAGCACCTGAGCCGTGCTGGAGTACGGCTGCACTTGAGTGATGGACGGCGCCGAGGGCACATCTGCACCACAGGGGAGACACTTTACAATACACAGTGGGAAAACTGCACTTTAACAGCTTATGCCCAATTATACGGCCTGATTGTACGGCTTTGTGCTTCAGCACCACTTTTACAAGAGGAAAATTTGAGCTATTGTATTGCACTTTATTGAACAAAGTCTACAATTGCAGGTAATTCAAAAATACAGTACCTCAAAAGCAAAAAGCACCCAAACACTCAATGTCAATGCGATTTTCTACTGCCATAAATGACTATATTGTGTTTGTTTTGAGATCAATACAGAGAAACAGACCAGCTGGGATCACGATGAACTCTTTGGATTCGGTCCCGATCTCATTGGAGGCAGTGCAGTTGTAGTTGCCAAAGTCGCTCTGAGACTCTGGATTGACCTGGGACAGATCAAGCGAATGCATTAACCTCTAGTCTCTATCTCAGCATTTATCTTTCAAACATGCATTTTATCACTGTCATTCCATTAGACGTGTATTTACTCCTGACAGCGTTCTCCCTGTGCTAAAATATTGATAAGACGCATAGGCTGCAGTGACGCCCTACAGCAACACTATCCCTTTCTGGGTGAAGCTCACAAAAACAGGTCCCGATCACATTTCACCCCCAAAATCAAAATAAATCATAAAAAAAGTGGGTAAAATATTTAAAATACAGAAAATGAAGCTCATTTTCAAAACCATATGGAGTGTTCAAATCGTTCTTGTGTACATCGACTCAAATTTCATTCACATGAAATCTATGACTGCTTTCCCGCCTACTATAAACTAACTACAGCAATAAGCAAACAGCATTTGGGTTTACGCTGTAAGGGAAATAAACATTACATTGGTTGAACCTACTGAATGAACACATCCAGTCTAAACTAGTGGTATTTAAGTGTTATTTATATACTATTACAGTTTTCATTAACATTTTGAATTAGCTTTTATTTTTGTATTTTTCCATTTTAATTTTAGCTTAAGTTTTAAAAACATTTCTAGAAATTTTTTTGCTTAGTAATATTTAAAAAATAAATAAAATGATTAATAAAGTTTTAGCAATTTTGTTTGTGCTTTTGCCATTTTGATTTTAGTAAAATTTTTAGTAATTTTGTTATGCGTTTGACATTTTATCTTTTTTTTTGTTAGTTTTAGTCATTACTGATGTTTGTTTAGTTTAATTTTTCATGTAATATTTATATTTTATTTCAGATTTATTATATAATATGATCTAATATAATATGAGGATATATTTGGATAATGGATGGACGTATAATATAATATAATATAATATAGAAACCACATTTCTTTCTTTTGTTTAGGGGCAAAATCAAAGCAGCACATATTGTTTGTCCAGTTTCGAAATATTCATCCATCTGGGTTCATGTGAATGTTTATGTTCTCATGAAGGTGTCTGCGTGGGTTGTACCTCCAGGTAGCTGGCGGAAGGCGTGTTATAGATCTTGATATTGGAGATGTTAGCGTTAGGCAGCTGGACGCCGTCTCGCAGCCACGTAATGGACACATTGCTGGGGTGAGCCAGCACTTCACAGCTGATGTTGGCTGGGTTGCCCTCCCACGTGTACACCGTTACTGAGCCCAGGATTTTCGGGGCATCTGTGATGAAAGGTAAAGCATATACAAATGAAAACAAACAAACCTGCCGGTAGCTCTGACCCTTCATCTACCTACCACCCCTCTACATCCGCTAAGGGAGAACGAAGCCTCCCCTCTCATTACCGCTGATGCCTTTATTCTGAGAATACAGTGGTTAAAGATCAAAATGTCCAGGGCTTAAACGTAGAGTGCTGAAAACACAGCACTGTGTGATGTTGAACACATCTGTTCACGGCAGTACATAAAAGCCAATCACGCTTCACTGGCTTCAAAAGGCCCCTCCTCCGAGCAGCGTCCCTGAATAGCATGCTGGGGGGAGACTTCAGGTACGATGCTCACATGACGTACGCGATTGGGCCCGCGTTCCCTCACAGACTGCGTGTGAATAGCTCCCGGCCCGCTGAGATACTGTTCTCACATTCATCAGAGCTTCAGATGTCATTAGTCCCATCACAACAATACACGCCTGGTACAAATGCACTAAACATGCGAAGAGGGAGGCTGGTATTTTCACAGCATACGCCGGCGCTAATGTGAAAACAAATACAAATAGGCGCAGTGGGGGCAGCACAATGAGAGCGAAAATGGGTGGTAATGCTTTGTTTGCTATCGATAGCAATTAAGACATTGAGGGAAGAGAGTTCTCCATTTCTGATGTTACAGCAATATAAGAATAGTAGAAACAAAAGTAAATTGGTCCATTTTTGGTCTGAACTGTCTTTGTTAGCAGAATTTAGTGCTTAGATTAAATGCTACTGGATATTTAATTTGAGACAAACAAAAACAATATTAGGAGTTTGTTCACAAGCATAAATATCTGCAGTATATATGCACTAAAAAGACCAAACTTCTAGCATTAACTGCCTCATTTTCATTAATCAAAAATGGCATTTATTGTTCTAACCAGACATGACACAACAAAATATCAAACAATAAATTTGGTCTCTTCCATGCAAATCCTAACCACTATTTTGCTAACCAGCTTGATTAGCAACAGGACATTTTGTCGGTCACTGGGTTTTTATATGACGCGTCAAGCTAGGTAACCCCACCCACTGTAAAATATCATTGGTCTAAAATTCAGCTCCAAATATCAGATATACAGATATTGTTGACCAGTCAATCACTGTTAATAATTGAATCCATTAAGCTTTTCTAGCATCAATTTATCAATTTCACCCTCAAAATGAAAGTGCATTGAAAAATGTATTAGAAAAACACCAATATTAGCATTTCTTAAGCAAATGTATTAGAGATGCACGGTATATTAGTTACATATTGGTTATTGGGTGTTATTAGAGATTGGATATGGATGGATATACTCCATATTGTATATCAGCCAATACTGGATATTTAATTGTGCATGCTTATTTCTTCTGTTCTTACTTTTTGATTCCTTTTGCCAACATCTAACACTCACTTAAAGTTGATATTTAAAATAATAATAATAATTCATTATAAAGGTGAAAAATATTGGTTGACCGAAACGTTGCTCATTAAAATATTTTTGTGATGATGTAAATATAAGTAATGTGTGGGATTTATATTTTTCTTTATATCGTAATTTCATCCAGTGCAGCTATGATTGACTCAGGTGTGCAAGGCACAATATATTTTTTGGATTATACTTATTAGTGAAATTTACATTAGCCATCAGTTATCAGTTGTTTGCCATGAAGGAACTAAGGATCCTCAAATGCAAACTGTGTGTGTTTTGCTTCAAGAGAGCAATCATACACTTGTGTTGTGTTTTACTTTCTTTCTTTTATATTCATTTATTCATTCATAATCATTTATCTTTTTATCATTTCATTTAATCATATAATCATTTATAATAATTAGGGATGCACCAATACCGATACTGGTCTCCTGTACTCGTACTCGTTAAAATGGCCCGATACCAAACGCCGATACCACACAGCATGTGATAAGCGCCATATTCAAACAAAGAAACACCGACAACAGAACAACAGACAGCAGAAAGGAGTTAAGGATGTCTACTACGAAGTATATGTATGCAATGAATATAATGTTAAACATTCAGTATTAATGCCTATATAGCTGATGTGCGCGAGCTGATAAACAAAGCACGCTGAGTGGATTGAGCGCGTGGCGGCGCAGATGCGCGAGCTTGTCAAGTAAATATATCTTTCTCACAGACATCACTGGAGAGTTTGTAGTTCGGTCGGATATGTCAAAAACAAGTAAGTAAAACAATGCACAAGTTACTTAACGGTAGGGAGAGAGAGAGAGAGAGAGAGAGAGAGAGAGCGCAATTATGTTGTGTGATCTTTGATGTTCACTCACTTAGCACACGCATCATTTGGATTAAAACTGTCGCTCTGAGACTCTGGATTGACCTGGGACAGATCAAGCGAATGCATTAACCTCTAGTCTCTATCTCAGCATTTATCTTTCAAACATGCATTTTATCACTGTCATTCCATTAGACGTGTATTTACTCCTGACAGCGTTCTCCCTGTGCTAAAATATTGATAAGACGCATAGGCTGCAGTGACGCCCTACAGCAACACTATCCCTTTCTGGGTGAAGCTCACAAAAACAGGTCCCGATCACATTTCACCCCCAAAATCAAAATAAATCATAAAAAAAGTGGGTAAAATATTTAAAATACAGAAAATGAAGCTCATTTTCAAAACCATATGGAGTGTTCAAATCGTTCTTGTGTACATCGACTCAAATTTCATTCACATGAAATCTATGACTGCTTTCCCGCCTACTATAAACTAACTACAGCAATAAGCAAACAGCATTTGGGTTTACGCTGTAAGGGAAATAAACATTACATTGGTTGAACCTACTGAATGAACACATCCAGTCTAAACTAGTGGTATTTAAGTGTCATTTATATACTATTACAGTTTTCATTAACATTTTGAATTAGCTTTTATTTTTGTATTTTTCCATTTTAATTTTAGCTTAAGTTTTAAAAACATTTCTAGAAATTTTTTTGCTTAGTAATATTTAAAAAATAAATAAAATGATTAATAAAGTTTTAGCAATTTTGTTTGTGCTTTTGCCATTTTGATTTTAGTAAAATTTTTAGTAATTTTGTTATATGCGTTTGACATTTTATCTTTTTTTTTGTTAGTTTTAGTCATTACTGATGTTTGTTTAGTTTAATTTTTCATGTAATATTTATATTTTATTTCAGATTTATTATATAATATGATCTAATATAATATGAGGATATATTTGGATAATGGATGGACGTATAATATAATATAATATAATATAGAAACCACATTTCTTTCTTTTGTTTAGGGGCAAAATCAAAGCAGCACATATTGTTTGTCCAGTTTCGAAATATTCATCCATCTGGGTTCATGTGAATGTTTATGTTCTCATGAAGGTGTCTGCGTGGGTTGTACCTCCAGGTAGCTGGCGGAAGGCGTGTTATAGATCTTGATATTGGAGATGTTAGCGTTAGGCAGCTGGACGCCGTCTCGCAGCCACGTAATGGACACATTGCTGGGGTGAGCCAGCACTTCACAGCTGATGTTGGCTGGGTTGCCCTCCCACGTGTACACCGTTACTGAGCCCAGGATTTTCGGGGCATCTGTGATGAAAGGTAAAGCATATACAAATGAAAACAAACAAACCTGCCGGTAGCTCTGACCCTTCATCTACCTACCACCCCTCTACATCCGCTAAGGGAGAACGAAGCCTCCCCTCTCATTACCGCTGATGCCTTTATTCTGAGAATACAGTGGTTAAAGATCAAAATGTCCAGGGCTTAAACGTAGAGTGCTGAAAACACAGCGCTGTGTGATGTTGAACACATCTGTTCACGGCAGTACATAAAAGCCAATCACGCTTCACTGGCTTCAAAAGGCCCCTCCTCCGAGCAGCGTCCCTGAATAGCATGCTGGGGGGAGGCTTCAGGCACGATGCTCACATGACGTACGCGATTGGGCCTGCGTTCCCTCACAGACTGCGTGTGAATAGCTCCCGGCCCGCTGAGATACTGTTCACACATTCATCAGAGCTTCAGATGTCATTAGTCCCATCACAACAATACACGCCTGGTACAAATGCACTAAACATGCGAAGAGGGAGGCTGGTATTTTCACAGCATACGCCGGCGCTAATGTGAAAACAAATACAAATAGGCGCAGTGGGGGCAGCACAATGAGAGCGAAAATGGGTGGTAATGCTTTGTTTGCTATCGATAGCAATTAAGACATTGAGGGAAGAGAGTTCTCCATTTCTGATGTTACAGCAATATAAGAATAGTAGAAACAAAAGTAAATTGGTCCATTTTTGGTCTGAACTGTCTTTGTTAGCAGAATTTAGTGCTTAGATTAAATGCTACTGGATATTTAATTTGAGACAAACAAAAACAATATTAGGAGTTTGTTCACAAGCATAAATATCTGCAGTATATATGCACTAAAAAGACCAAACTTCTAGCATTAACTGCCTCATTTTCATTAATCAAAAATGGCATTTATTGTTCTAACCAGACATGACACAACAAAATATCAAACAATAAATTTGGTCTCTTCCATGCAAATCCTAACCACTATTTTGCTAACCAGCTTGATTAGCAACAGGACATTTTGTCGGTCACTGGGTTTTTATATGACGCGTCAAGCTAGGTAACCCCACCCACTGTAAAATATCATTGGTCTAAAATTCAGCTCCAAATATCAGATATACAGATATTGTTGACCAGTCAATCACTGTTAATAATTGAATCCATTAAGCTTTTCTAGCATCAATTTATCAATTTCACCCTCAAAATGAAAGTGCATTGAAAAATGTATTAGAAAAACACCAATATTAGCATTTCTTAAGCAAATGTATTAGAGATGCACGGTATATTAGTTACATATTGGTTATTGGGTGTTATTAGAGATTGGATATGGATGGATATACTCCATATTGTATATCAGCCAATACTGGATATTTAATTGTGCATGCTTATTTCTTCTGTTCTTACTTTTTGATTCCTTTTGCCAACATCTAACACTCACTTAAAGTTGATATTTAAAATAATAATAATAATTCATTTGGGTTTTTGATATTAGACAATTTTGCTGACTAGTTGTTCTGTTATCAGACAAAACAGATATTTTCTGACAGGATCTGGCATCCCGGGCTGAATCTGATATTTCTGAAATGGAGGCATGATCTAACAGCCATCAGTTATTATTTTCAGTTACTGGCCATAACATGGAGGGAAAAAAAGCAAGAATATTAATATGTGTGCACCTGAATATTAATTTATTTATAATTCGAAAGTTTTCCACGTGTTTTTGTGGAATTAATTAATAATTTGAATGACAATTTAATAATGAAAATTCCTCAGTTTACATTCCTTGATATTACTGACTCACGCAGCATTCAATTGTGGACACAAACCTTGTCACGTTGCACTTGGTGAGGACACTGTGTGATTGAAGTCTATTGGGAGGCTTTTTCATATCACTGGTGTCCTGAGGTGGGGGAGGGGGGTGATAATGTCGAGGAGTGGCTGTAGTTTTGATACATTAACTAACATTCTCTACTGAGTTGCCATATGCTACTGAATCTCTATGACAAACAGCTATACATTTCAATCAGCACATTCAACAGACTTTATCTCCCTTTCTTCTCAGATAAGGCTCTATTTATTCATTTGCAACGCGAGAACGCCATATCATTAAAGTTTTAGAGCCACAGTTTTCAGCAGAAAGGTCTTTTTAATAATGCACGCTTGGATGGAGGTGGTTTCCTCAAATATCTATTTTTGTAAGGATGGAAAAGGAAAAGTCTCGGTGTGAACAACAACAAAAGCACTTTGTGCAACATCAATTACTTAAAAGAAAAGAAATCATCACATAACACTAACAAAAAAGGACTTTATAAAGCTTTATCAAAATATGAACCCTTCAAGAATGCAGTCTTATGATGTCCTAATGAAAAGAAAAATTATGTCATAATGACTTAATTGATTAGATACAGAATGGAAAAGAGGCCATGCACTGAATATAGAAAGTGAAAACTACAACTACATCATTCCACTCTCAGATGAAACAAAGCTGTCATTGTAATTCAGAGATTTGATCTGATGGGAAAGAAAGAGGTTCATGGAGTTGATGGCTATCTTCATAATTTAGTTTATGGAGACATGGATACGGAATCTCTACCTTGTGCTGTTCGGGTCGAGTCCAAGAGGCCTGCAAAGAACACAGACAAAACAACACAAAGAGGCAAAGCAGTCCTTTAGAAGGAATCCTCTGTTATTGAGAATAAAAGCACTGCACATTAAAATACATTTGTTTATTGATTAATTGTATGGACTAAAAGTGAAATATTACAAAGGTATATTGCAAAAAATAATAATAATAAAACATCATATTACGAAGCAGATTAAATATGTTGTTTTGCTCTTATTTTAGCATTACTTACTAATTCAGTTAAACAGTTGTTTATTCTGGTTAATTCAATTCTGCTTACACACACCATAAAATAATAAAACAAAAGTAATATAAAAATTATTGTTGCTTTACGAAAAAGCATAGGCAAAAAAAAAATCATTTAATAATAATTAAAAAAAAAACATCCGAATTTAATTGAAAACATGAATTTACTTGAAAAGCAAACCTGAGAAAAAAAGTTTTTTTTTCATTTTCAGACAATTCATCTTTTAGTAAGTGTTTTTTTATTAGATGTTGACCGATTAATCAGTTACGCCGATTAATCGGCACCGATAGTCGATTGCTGGAACAATAGTTAATAGTGGAACAATAGGTATATGTGTCCTTCTTCCTCTTTTACACATACACACTGTGAAGATGCTACTTCTGGTGAGGAACTGACACCAGACAGCTAGACAAAAACATATGCACATCTTATTTGCACCTCATAATAAGCAATTATATTTATTTCATACCATATAAGGTAACGTATAACTCCTGAATACGTTGATTGGATGTCCGAGATATTGTTTGCATAAATATTTTATTCCATTTTAAAAGTATGGTTTCAGTATGGATTTTTAAATTTTATTTACTTTTTATTTTACTTTATTTTCAGTACTGTTTTTTTATAATGTTTTTCAATAAGTTTTTAGTTTTCATTCAGTATCAATTTGAAAAACAATCGGTTGATTAATCGGTTATCGGCCAGTGTTGTCCAACTTAGTTAATGGTAAAATCCACTGCTGGTCAACCTCTAGTTTTTATTACCCTTTTGGCAATTTTTTTTCTCCTTTTAGTGAGGTTTAAACAAGACTTATTATCCATAATTTTGCTTCTCAAAAAAGTTTATTTTGTTTTAAGGGCATTTAGATATTTATACTGGAAAACTATATAAAACACTTGATAAAAAAAATATTTTTGAGGTGCATTATGATCTTAAAAAGAATGAGTTCTTTAAAAAAAAAAAAAAATGGTACTGGGGTAAGACCGCGGTCTGTAACACTGAATCTCTATGACAAACAGCTATACATTTCAATCAGCACATTCAACAGACTTTATCTCCCTTTCTTCTCAGATAAGGCTCTATTTATTCATTTGCAACGCGAGAACGCCATATCATTAAAGTTTTAGAGCCACAGTTTTCAGCAGAAAGGTCTTTTTAATAATGCACGCTTGGATGGAGGTGGTTTCCTCAAATATCTATTTTTGTAAGGATGGAAAAGGAAAAGTCTCGGTGTGAACAACAACAAAAGCACTTTGTGCAACATCAATTACTTAAAAGAAAAGAAATCATCACATAACACTAACAAAAAAGGACTTTATAAAGCTTTATCAAAATATGAACCCTTCAAGAATGCAGTCTTATGATGTCCTAATGAAAAGAAAAATTATGTCATAATGACTTAATTGATTAGATACAGAATGGAAAAGAGGCCATGCACTGAATATAGAAAGTGAAAACTACAACTACATCATTCCACTCTCAGATGAAACAAAGCTGTCATTGTAATTCAGAGATTTGATCTGATGGGAAAGAAAGAGGTTCATGGAGTTGATGGCTATCTTCATAATTTAGTTTATGGAGACATGGATACGGAATCTCTACCTTGTGCTGTTCGGGTCGAGTCCAAGAGGCCTGCAAAGAACACAGACAAAACAACACAAAGAGGCAAAGCAGTCCTTTAGAAGGAATCCTCTGTTATTGAGAATAAAAGCACTGCACATTAAAATACATTTGTTTATTGATTAATTGTATGGACTAAAAGTGAAATATTACAAAGGTATATTGCAAAAAATAATAATAATAAAACATCATATTACGAAGCAGATTAAATATGTTGTTTTACTCTTATTTTAGCATTACTTACTAATTCAGTTAAACAGTTGTTTATTCTGGTTAATTCAATTCTGCTTACACATACACCATAAAATAATAAAACAAAAGTAATATAAAAATTATTGTTGCTTTACGAAAAAGCATAGGCAAAAAAAAAAATCATTTAATAATAATTAAAAAAAAAACATCCGAATTTAATTGAAAACATGAATTTACTTGAAAAGCAAACCTGAGAAAAAAAGTTTTTTTTTCATTTTCAGACAATTCATCTTTTAGTAAGTGTTTTTATATTAGATGTTGACCGATTAATCAGTTACGCCGATTAATCGGCACCGATAGTCGATTGCTGGAACAATAGTTAATAGTGGAACAATAGGTATATGTGTCCTTCTTCCTCTTTTACACATACACACTGTGAAGATGCTACTTCTGGTGAGGAACTGACACCAGACAGCTAGACAAAAACATATGCACATCTTATTTGCACCTCATAATAAGCAATTATATTTATTTCATACCATATAAGGTAACGTATAACTCCTGAATACGTTGATTGGATGTCCGAGATATTGTTTGCATAAATATTTTATTCCATTTTAAAAGTATGGTTTCAGTATGGATTTTTAAATTTTATTTACTTTTTATTTTACTTTATTTTCAGTACTGTTTTTTTATAATGTTTTTCAATAAGTTTTTAGTTTTCATTCAGTATCAATTTGAAAAACAATCGGTTGATTAATCGGTTATCGGCCAGTGTTGTCCAACTTAGTTAATGGTAAAATCCACTGCTGGTCAACCTCTAGTTTTTATTACCCTTTTGGCAATTCTTTTTCTCCTTTTAGTGAGGTTTAAACAAGACTTATTATCCATAATTTTGCTTCTCAAAAAAGTTTATTTTGTTTTAAGGGCATTTAGATATTTATACTGGAAAACTATATAAAACACTTGATAAAAAAAATATTTTTGAGGTGCATTATGATCTTAAAAAGAATGAGTTCTTTAAAAAAAAAAAAAAACTTCAGTGTTATTAATAACAACATTAAAAAATACAATAAAATGCTGTAAGTAATGACTTTTTTTTACATTTTGCAGATAACAGGACCACTACATTTCTACGCTCAAGAAAAAAAAAAAAAAAAGTACAAAACGTTCACTGAAGTGAACCTATGGTACAAAAGCTAAGAGGTACAACTTTGTGTCTTATTTACCTCTAAATGGTACATATTAGTACCTAAAGTAAACACAGATAAACACTTCATGCAATCACTTTCCCTATGAAAGTGGCTAAAGTTTTCTGTGGACTCACGGCACTTCACGCGGAGGCTGAACGTGCACATGCTTAGCAACACGATGCAATGGACAGGAAACCGCTTGACATGCTAGAACACATTGAGATTATCACCAGACAAAACACATGAAGAGCAACAGGCGCAAATCGAACGATGCCTGAAATGGTCTGCACTCTGTGTTAGTGCACTTGAGCACAACAATGTGTCTCTGTACCATGCTTGCAACAACAAAAAAAGCCAAGAGTTGTACCAAGCGAGTCATTTTGCAAGAGCATCAGAAAAAAAAAAGCAAAACTCTTGCAGGGTTATTATGATGACAGCAGGCTGAGTCTGCTAGTCTTGCAGCTTTCATTTGGCTAACTACCTCCCCGGAGACCCGTGTGGGATAAACAGTTATGATCAATGCCTTTATTCTACAATGCCGTCTAATTGCTACTAATTACAGTTAATATCTTAGTATAAACTGAAGCCCTAGGCTGATGACGAATGCTTGTATGCTATTTTCTGGCCTGATAAAGTAACAGAACAAAATTAACAAGCTGATTATGTAAATGAAATGTTCAGGTTATTGTTGACGTTATTACATGATGATTATTCTGATTACATCAGGTGCCCAACACCTCAGGCCTGCTCTGATCTCTCAAATGCACACAATGAATCTGTGATGATTACAATATGAATGGAGAACAAATCCATATGCGTAAAGCAAATCTAGAACTTGGCAGCTTATTCAAACGAGTTACTGAGGAGTGAATTATTGGTGTTAATTGTAAAATGCAAAACCACATGTAGAAAAGTTTGTGCAGCGTAGTGAAGGAGGCTGGAGCACATATGGGATAAAGGCATGAAAGTACCTTTGTCAAAAAGTATTACTTTCTTAATGGGGTCATATCATTCTTTTTTATTATTTTATATATTTGTTTTCACAGGGATTATCTATGTTAGTATAGGTTTTTGAGGCAAAACACTTATAATTTACTCATAATGCTGCCCCCCATAAAAAAAAAAAAACGTAGTGAAGGAGGCTGGAGCACATATGGGATAAAGGCATGAAAGTACCTTTGTCAAAAAGTATTACTTTCTTAATGGGGTCATATCATTCTTTTTTATTATTTTATATATTTGTTTTCACAGGGATTATCTATGTTAGTATAGGTTTTTGAGGCAAAACACTTATAATTTACTCATAATGCTGCCCCCCATAAAAAAAAAAAATTAGATCAGATTGAAATGAATAGGAATCATATTTAAATAAAATGTAGCTGCTTGTTTGGGTTCATTTGGGAGAAGAGTACATTAATGTTCAAAAGTTTGTTTTTTAAAGGAAGACTCTTATACTCAACAAGCTGCATTTATTTTCTCAAAAATACAGTAAAACAACAATATTGTGGATATTATTACAGTTTAAAATAACTTTTAATATATGTTAAAATTGAATTTATTCCTGTTATGTAAAGCTGAATTGTCAGCATCATTACTCCAGTCTTCAGTGTCACATGATCCTTCAGAAATCCTTCTAATATGCTGATTTTGATGCTCAAGAAACATTTCTTATTATAATTAGTGTTGAAGACAGTTGTGCTGCTTAAATTAATAGTTCAAAGGAACATATGCATAGTGAATCGCACATGAACTGGCAATCATTTTTTTTACAACAGAGAGGGAGGAGGAATTAAATATTATTTTAATATTTTGGAGGAAACCGAGATAAATTTTTTCAAGATTTTTGATGAACGGAGAGTTCAAAAGAACAGCATTTATTTGGAATAGACATCTTTCTTAATATTATAAATGTCTGTTTCTTGTGATCAATTGAATGTGTCTTTACTGAATAAAACTTATCAAATTATATTTTTGATCATTTTCTTTGGGATAACACAGGGCATTGTCTTTTTTATTGTGACTACTAACAGATCATTAACACCATAAATATGCATCAAATTCTTATTGAAATGGCATTTTCGCTGCTAACCTGTTATGCGTGTGAAGGAGAGGTAACAGGGTATTCATTAGGTGAGAGAAAACACCGCTGCTCTGAAAAAGCACTTGAAGACTTCAAGCTAAATCTTGGAAATCTGCTCCTACTTCACACCGTTCCCTTAATTTGTTAGGGAAGACATGCAGAGCAGCAGCTGCTACACAGCCAGACACAGCACAAGTTTTCTGCTGCTGGTTTTACTCTTATAATTAGCATTTTGTTATTAGGAAGGGAATAATATAATCTATTCTGCTTTCTCATTACATTATCATAACTGGACAGACCAAATTTTTGAATCAGTGTCACTGATGTGATGCCAAAAACTTGGAGATTTCAGAACAAGTCGGTTCTGCAGCTTGGTTTAAATAAAGGGAGTTTTAAATTCTTAAAGTGAGTATTTTCATAGTACAATAAATTCTTTCATATCAGAAGATCAAAGGGAAATTGATTACTCCTATGAAATGAACCCTTCAATACATTTCTTTTAATTTTCTAAATCAGAAATGCAATTAATAACGTGCCACAGACACTGATGACAGCGCAAAAGTTCTATTTAACCTGGAAGATTCCTTTAAACTATTCACTCTTGCAGAATAAAAAAACATCAACACGGCTGCTGTGAAAATCCTACGCTCCAGTGGAGCTACCATGAGAGGGACAGTGTCCATATCTCCGTTTCATCAGATCAGCTACAGTTTGCCAGGAAACGCTGTTTACCAAGCTCAGGGGATAGGTGGCTTTTCACTGGCTGTGGGGTCAAAAACCCTTAAAATTTACTCAAAAAGCTACCCCCCATAAAAAAAAAAAAATTAGATCAGATTGAAATGAATAGGAATCATATTTAAATAAAATGTAGCTGCTTGTTTGGGTTCATTTGGGAGAAGAGTACATTAATGTTCAAAAGTTTGTTTTTTAAAGGAAGACTCTTATACTCAACAAGCTGCATTTATTTTCTCAAAAATACAGTAAAACAACAATATTGTGGATATTATTACAGTTTAAAATAACTTTTAATATATGTTAAAATTGAATTTATTCCTGTTATGTAAAGCTGAATTGTCAGCATCATTACTCCAGTCTTCAGTGTCACATGATCCTTCAGAAATCCTTCTAATATGCTGATTTTGATGCTCAAGAAACATTTCTTATTATAATTAGTGTTGAAGACAGTTGTGCTGCTTAAATTAATAGTTCAAAGGAACATATGCATAGTGAATCGCACATGAACTGGCAATCATTTTTTTTACAACAGAGAGGGAGGAGGAATTAAATATTATTTTAATATTTTGGAGGAAACCGAGATACATTTTTTCAAGATTTTTGATGAACGGAGAGTTCAAAAGAACAGCATTTATTTGGAATAGACATCTTTCTTAATATTATAAATGTCTGTTTCTTGTGATCAATTGAATGTGTCTTTACTGAATAAAACTTATCAAATTATATTTTTGATCATTTTCTTTGGGATAACACTGGGCATTGTCTTTTTTTATTGTGACTACTAACAGATCATTAACACCATAAATATGCAT